AATAGGCTCAGGAACCTGTACACCTGTTGATTGACGGTTGAGAGGCGGGACCAAAGAGCCAGAGCTCAACCCCCGCAAGCACAACTAGGTGAGTACAACTAGGTGAGTACACACACACACACACACACACACACACACACACACACACACACACACACACACACACACACACACACACACACACACACACACACACACACACACACACATACACACACACACACACACACACACACACACACACACACACACACACACACACACACACACACACACACACACACACACACACACACACACACACACACACACACACACACACACACACACACACACACACACACACACACACACAGGGATCGCTCTGACTGCTCCAGGAATAACGACCTATCGTGGGCAGAACCACGACTGATCGTTAATTAGTGTTAATTAACACTAATTAACAGGAACACTCAATATTTAACCGGAGTTTATATTAATGATATATTCCCTAGAACTCATAAGGTGACAGGTGCCCTTGACCTTCAGTCTGTTCTAATGACCTGAGGGGCGTCAAACTGCCTGATCACCTTGTTACTTCAGGTAGAATACACTGATTTCTGAAAATGTATCCTTACATGATGTGGGGGCGTGAGTCACTAATTCCTCTGAGCTTCAGTAGTAGTCAGTGGACAACCGAAAAATTCAAGTTTGGTAGCAGGATGCTGCTTCTGTAAACCTTCCTTATTAAGACCACTCAATAGCACGGTCGATCGAGCTTCACCCTCACACACATGGGGTCCACGGTTCGAGTCTTCTAGACCAAAGGTGAATGTTCCATTCACCTTTGGTCTAGATTTCACCTCTAGAAATTCTAGAGGTAGTCTAGATTTCTAGACTAGTCTAGACTAGTCTAGAGTCTAGATTTCACCTCTAGAAACTCTAGAGGTAGATTCACCTCTGTTTGGACTACAGAGGTGAATGTTCCATTCACCTCTGTACGTAGCTGAATCAGCTCCGGGGGGTGACTGCTGCTCATATATGATCTCTCAGCTAACGTAAGATTGAGTTCTCTTGAGTTCGTCCTCGGAGCTCATTCCTCTAAATTCTCGGAATAGCCTTTGGGTCAGGTGTTGCATTAAGGTTGAGGTGGGCGTTACATACTGGCCTATAACACTAACAAGACTGGCCTGGTCTTAGTATACATTACTGTTACAGTATCCTTGAAAAGATGGTATACATCGCTGCTAAAGTATCCTTGAGGCAGAATCCATCATTCTTAAGGAATCTTTACCAAGTACTGGCCCTGGTTCTGGGAAGCTTGTGTTCTGAAGCCAAGCTTGATATCTCATCAGGTTCCATTTAGCCTTTCTCTTATGCTTCAATCTAGCGATTTGTCGGTTATCCTGGGTATGCTCCTTTTAGAGACCTAGGATATATTTGGTCAAATCTCTTGGAGTGTCCAGCTCTATCTCTTAGAGTGCCCAGTTCTGTCTGTAGGGATGTTCAGCTCTATCTCTTAGAGTGCCCAGTTCTGTCTGTAGGGATGTTCAGCTCTATCTCTAGGCATGCTTAGTTCTGTCTCTAGGGGGTATTCGGTTCTATTTCTATGTAACCCCAGTTCTATCTCTAGAAGTACTCAGTTGTATCTCTAGAGTTGTTCAGGTCTGTCTTTAGTAGTGCCATGTTCAGTCATTAGGGATGACCAATTCGACTATCTCTACGGTGTCCTTTTCATACATTTCAGGCAGATGGTCAAGATCCATTTTGAAATGTATATATTATCATGAAGCTCTTTTCAGACTTGGTTAAATCCCACCTTCCATATTTAGCTATCGTCTAGCTATCGTTTTTTGCCCCTTCACCTCGTACGCAGCTATCGTTAGCCCGCCACTACTCATATGCAATCATCGTTAACACCCCCTTTCGCTCATATTAACTGCTATCATGTGATAACTTACCGTCGTTATCTTCCCATAATGTGCCTCTAGAGTAGAATGGTCGTTCGGCACCGTGAGATAACGAGGTCGTTCGCTGCTCTTTCGCGTCTTTTAACAAGTTTTCCAACATTCGGCTTTTCATATTGTTCCTCCGTCCTTTCCAACCCTGAGCTTTAAAAACCTATTTGCATTGAACCCTCGAACTAGAGTCATAATTATGATGTTGCCCGTGAATCCTTTGTGTCAAGTGGAGTTTTTATGTTTAGGTCTCTTCACATCATTCGTTGTTCCGGCCCTGAACTCTGTTTCTCGTTGATCTCTGGCCCTGAAATCTGTTTCCTGTTGATCTCTGGCCCTGAACTCTGTTTCTCGTTGAACTCTGGCCCTGAACTCTGTTTCTCGTTGAACTCTGGCCCTGAACTCTGTTTCCTGTTGATCTCTGGCCCTGAACTCTGTTTCCCGTTGAACTCTGGCCCTGAACTCTGTTTCCCGTTGAACTCTAGTCCTGAGCTCTGTTTCCCGTTGAACTCTGGCCCTGAACTCTGTTTCTCGTTGATCTCTGGCCCTGAACTCTGTTTCCCGTTGAACTCTGGCCCTGAACTCTGTTTCCCGTTGAACTCAGGTTCCTGAACTCTGTTTCCTGTTGATCTCTGGCCCTGAACTCTGTTTCCCGTTGAACTCTGGCCCTGAACTCTGTTTCCCGTTGAACTCTGGCCCTGAACTCTGTTTCCCGTTGAACTCTGGCCCTGAACTCTGTTTCCCGTTGAACTCTGGCCAAGATCTTTCTAACATTGCTGAAGTTTTCGTTGTGATTTAGGAATTCCGTGTTCTCGCTCGACTGCTCCTTCACCCCTGCCTTTGAGGTCCTGCCGCACACCCGTATGTCAACACACAATGGCTGTGGGGCTCTGTAGGTGTGTACTCACCTTGCAGCAGGCACGTAGTTGTGCTTGCGGGGGGTTGGGCTTCGTCGCTTTGGTCCCGTCTCTCGACTGTTTAAGTTATGTAAAATTGAGCTCTCTTGTGTACGCCCTCGGAGCTTTTTTTGAGCCCGAATCTAATTGAGGTCTATACCAAATGCGAATATTGAATCTATTGGGTTCTATCCCGAATTTACTCACATTGGAAAGAAAAACTAAGACGGAATATGAAAACTAGCTTTGAACGAAAACAAAAAACAGCTTCTGTATACTCACTTTGAGGGAAAAAATATACTGTATACTCACATTTGTAAATTTGTATTTGGTAGCAAAAAAACTTATCTCTCTCTTTCTCATTCTTTCTTTATTTCTTTCTTTCACTGTCTTCCTTAGTCTGTGACCCTTGCTGATCGAGCGATAAGAACAAGAACTGAACGCGTCTCAGAGTGTACCTGTTTCCCATACACTCTCATGAACTACCTGACGCGTGAAGGATAAATTAGTATTGTTACCATTTTCACACTAGTCATTTAAGCAGACGAGGAGTCACAATAACGTGGCTGAAATATGTTGACCAGACCACACACTAGAAAGTGAAAGGACGACGACGTTTCGGTCCGTCCTGGACCCTTCTTAAGTCGATTGTGTTCATTTAACTGAGAATGAGATAGGTGCAGTCTTTCCTGCACTAAGTACGAGAACTAGCTAGTGCGGAGAGTGAGAGATGATAGCAAAGAGGGTCGGATTACTTGTATTACTGCGTATTACTTGTTAAAGAGGTGCATAGAGTTTGTCCCTATTATTGACCTCGTATTCTTCTCTGTGTGGCTGGTGTCTTGCTGGAACCTTGAGTCTTTTCATATATATTCTACGAACTACTATTTTATAAAAAGACTATTCCCTACGAAACACTTTGGGGGACTCTTATCTTCATTCAAGTTTAAACTATTCCTTGTCTACGAAGATTGCAAAGAACATAACCTTAAGATGCCATGAAGAAACAATACGATACCTATCTATAGTGCAAACAATTAGCTTGCGATAACAACCCCCCGGCCTCCCACCACACAACTACCCCCCCCCTCCCATGCTAATATATCACTCAGGTTATAGGTAGCTTTCTGTTGGATATGTGAGAACGAACACACGAACGAGGAAGATTAAATGGGATGACTGGAGCGTTAACTGGGAGTGAGAAGCGGTGAGTGGTGAAGGGTGATGATAGTGGGGAAGAAAATGGGTGATGGTAGTGGGAAGAAGATGTGTGAAAGATGCTATGAAGGTAGAAGCAGTAGGTGAGAGAGGGGGGGGGGTGGTAGCAGGTGGTGGTGGTGAGCGATGAAGATAAGTGACTGATAGTTGGTATGGAGGTACTTGGTAGGGACTGGTAGTGATGGTGGTAGATGGTGGTAGAGAAGGACAGTGCATGAAGGCTTTTACCCCAGGAGTATTATGATGGTGATAGACACCAAAGAAAGTTGAAAGCCTATGTAGTAAAAATCATGAAACTGATTTACATCCATAGAGGCTTCAGAAGTTGGTTTGGCATTCCTCTCACATCTATGGGAAGGGGAAGTTCTGTCTAGTCTCTCCCAAGGGGATAATTGGTTTCCCTCTTACCACTATAGGAAGGCTCATTTAAGTCTAAGGGGGTTCAATCCCATTTCAGTCTACGAGATTTTGAAATGGGTTTATATATATATATATATATATATATATATATATATATATATATATATATATATATATATATATATATATATATATATGTAAAACTTTGTTTATCACGTTGAATCTAAGTTAAATCCACACGTTACTGACACTGGATAAACGCTTTTGACGTTGATTCAGCATTATCGACATTGATATCTCGTAATCTGGTGCTCCAGACCCCAAGATATCGTGATCTGGTGCCCCAGACCCCCAGGATATATATTCTGTGTTCCAGACACTGAGATATCCATTTCTGGTGCACCAGAGCCAAATAAAGAAGCATGATAAAGCCCTTCTACCACCCTATATCCCTATCACCATCCTTCTCCCCCCCCCTAACCACCTCCCCCATATACCCCCCCCATCCTGACCTCTCTCTCAATCCCTTCTCCTTCAGCCCCCTCTCCCCTGCGATGCTCTAGGCACACAAAACAGCCTGGTGTCTCACCTCCCGACACTCTGCATACTACGTCGTTGGTCTGACCCAGCTCCACAGGCGACATCCGGGACACCACCTCTATCCGCGTCGGAGGAACTGTAGAGGGGAGAAAGAGAGCGATAATGAATTATAGAGTTCTGGAGGAAGTGCAGAGGAGATAAAATCAATGAGAACGCGTTAAAGAGAATGGTGATAACGAGACGAGACAAGAACAGGATATAATTGCTAATAAGGAGGACGTTATCAGTTTATAAATGGGAACTTGAAACGAAAAGCAAAAAAATAAATAAAAAATAAATAAAATCACGTCCCTAATGTAGAATAAAACATTCTTATTGACAATAAAATTGAAAATAAGTTGATCTTGATAATACATTTAATAAAATATTGAGCATTAAAGGCATTAATTAACATTCAAGATGTGTTTACCAAATACAGAAAGCCAATAATAATTAAGAGACAATTTGACGTGTTGAAGAGAAAAGATGACATGACGTGTTCAAGACGATGTTTAAAATGACTTAAGACGATACGTATACTGACGTGCTTAAGACGCAAGATAACAGGACGTGTTAAGGAGGTATTTATGACAATGGTATTTATGACAATTTATGACAATGGGAGCCGGTCGGCCGAGCGAACAGCACGCTGGACTTGTGATCCTGTGGTCCCGGGTTCGATCCCAGGCGCCGGCGAGAAACAATGGGCAAAGTTTCTTTCACCCTATGCCCCTGTTACCTAGCAGTAAAATAGGTACCTGGGTGTTAGTCAGCTGTCACGGGCTGCTTCCTGGGGGTGGAGGCCTGGTCGAGGACCGGGCCGCGGGGACACTAAAGCCCCGAAATCATCTCACGATATCAAGATATATCTCAAGATATCAAGATATATCTCAAGATATCAAGATATATCTCAAGATATCAAGATATATCTCAAGATATCAAGATATATCTCAAGATATCAAGATATATCTCAAGATATCAAGATATATCTCAAGATATCAAGATATATCTCAAGATATCAAGATATATCTCAAGATATCAAGATATATCTCAAGATATCAAGATATATCTCAAGATATCAAGATATATCTCAAGATATCAAGATATATCTCAAGATATCAAGATATATCTCAAGATATCAAGATATATCTCAAGATATCATGGGCTTCGTCACAAGCATCAAATATTGTCGAGGTCAATATTTTAACCAAGTGAAAAGTGGAGGGAGGAAAGTACACAAAGTCTTTAGCGGGTACCGGGAAAAGTGTAAAAAGTCCAAAGGGGTTAAATTGGGGATACGAGCAAAGTGCTAAGTGCTCCAATTGGATATCTAGAGGAGAGAGGGGGAGGCTCTTAATGGGTACCGGGAGAAAGAATGGGCAGAATTTTCAGGGGGTACCATGACAAACAATGGGAAGAAATTTCAGGGGGTACCATGACAAACAATGGGAAGAAATTTCAGGGGGTACCATGTCAAAGAATGGGCAGAACTTTCAGTGGGTACCAGAGAGATATAGAAAGCTAAGATAATCCTTTAAATGAGTATATATCCTATTTGCTATACCATGAACTGGATAGAAATAGCGGAAGCTGTTCCCAGATACAATTATCGAAGGTAATAGGAGGATCACCCGAGGTGGGAGTGCCATCATTAGTGGCACTCAACGAGGCTGCAACATGAACGTGACTCGCCAGTCCTCCGAGGCGTTCAACAACTGCACCTGTCTACCCTGAGCACCACGGGGGCAACACACTGGTGTTTAGACGCTTCATTTCACCTCTGTAATCAGTGTGGTCAAAGCGACGTAGGTGAGAATTCTTTCGATTACAAAATACGATTACAGGTAATATGAATTACATCGATTTATGTAATAAATTAAATATTTTTGTATCGCTCGGTAGATTTTTTATAAGACTTTTATAATGCTCGGTATTCAGTGATATTTAGTCTTAAAATATAAACTTACTCCTGAACCATTTGACCTTTGAATCATGCCAAAGTTCATGCGCGTTTGACTGGCCAGTCAGCTTAAATGCCTCGCTTCTAACTCAGTTGGCTTCGATTGGTGATTGGCCAAATAGTTGGGCACCGTTCCCAAACTATGCCATTGGGAGGGGGGTGGGGGGGGGTTTGGATAATGGTTCACTTGTTTGGTCACAGTTCCCTCACTTCCTCCACATGTACAGCCTCGTTACCTTATATATTATCGTTATCTCATCCTTTGAGATATCGTTATCTTACGCTATCTCTTCCTAGTGCTATACACTTATGCTTTTCAACAACTTCCTGACAATTACCTCACCTTCCCCCCCCCCCTTCACCTTCCCTTGTACTTGTCACAAGTTGTGCCTCTACAACCTATGTAAGTATGTATGTATGTATGTATGTATGTATGTATGTATGTATGTATGTATGTATGTATGTATGTATGTATATGTATGTATGTATGTATGTCTACGTATGTCTTCGTATTTTAAAATTTAAAAATAAAAATTAATCCGAAGTTACAAGGTAAAGCAACAAAAATCACTGATGATATTTTTAGTTCTCATGTTTGGAAGCAGAAGTGACAGACAATCGCAACATCTGAAGCACTTTGAAGCACTCTGAAGCACTTTGAAGCACTCTAAAGCACTCTGAAGCACTCTGAAGCACTTTGAAGCACTCTGAAGCACTCTGAAGCACTTTGAAGCACTTTGAAGCCCTCTGAAGTACTCTGAAGCACTCTGAAGCACTTTGAAGCACTCTGAAGCACTTTGAAGCACTTTGAAGCCCTCTGAAGTACTCTGAAGCACTTTGAAGCACTTTCAAGCACTCTGAAGCACTCTGAAGCACTTTGAAGCACTCTGAAGCACTTTGAAGCACTCTGAAGCACTTTCAAGCACTCTGAAGCACTTTGAAGCACTCTGAAGCACTTTCAAGCACTCTGAAGCACTCTGAAGCACTCTGAAGCACTCTGAAGCAAGGAAACCACTAGATTACAAACGTCAGAGTAGCATAACAATTTCAGCAACTGATCAAAATGAATTGCCCATCTTTACCTTCTTTATTTATTATTTCATCTTCACTACAGTGGAAAACTAAGCAAGTTATATTGAGAGAATCATTAGTGAGAGGAATGTGATGCAGGAACATTGCTGCCTTCTTAAGCGTCTCGGGAACGCTGTAATAAACTGATTGGGTTTGTCTTGATGCTTCTGAATGATGCCACGAATAAAAATGAACAGAACAGCTGACAAGTACAAGTAGATTGATCAGAGAGAGAGAGAGAGAGAGAGAGAGAGAGAGAGAGAGAGAGAGAGAGAGAGAGACCAACTGATCACATGAAGACTCTGGCACATATATAGCAACAGGCTCATCCTGTTCCTTATATGTCACTTATATTTAAAAAATAAAGTTATTCCAACTTAAAATTATAATCAATAAAATAAATGTCTCTAGGGGCAGCCCTGAGATAAGTTGAAGCAGGATAACAGCTCTTGCTTGCACTTTCACTAGGTACCTCAACTCATAGCCCTGATGGACCCTAGTATTAGTTGAGAAATAGCAAGAGAGAGAGAGAGAGAGAGAGAGAGAGAGAGAGAGAGAGAGAGAGAGAGAGAGAGAGAGAGAGACTGACAGACAGACAGAAAGACATAACCCAATTTGTAAATTCATAACCCAATAATGTACCAAGTAACTATCACATCGGTTGGGGGGGATTTTGAATTGGGATTCATGGCACTGAGTAGGGGGATTAATGCATTACATTTATTACAAGCGTATATTATTGGACGAAATTGCAAACTGGGCTTCAGCAGGTTAGTTATGACGATGAGATTAGACTGTTTTCTTTACTGGAATATAGACACAAGTAGTTGTCCATAACAATATTTTCAAGTAGTTTGAGTCGAACCCGGACCCTCAGGACTATACGACTCCCGAACGCTGTTCACTCAGCCGCGAGGCCCTGTGTGTATATGTGTGTGTGTGTGTGTGTGTATATGTGTGTGTGTGTGTGTGTGTGGTGTGTGTGTGTGTGTGTGT